GACCGGGACACCGTCACAACATGAGCGAGACACCATCACAACATGACTGGGACACCGTCACAACATGACTGGGACACAATCACAACATGACCGGGACACCATCACAAGGTGACCGGGACACCAACATGACATGACGGGAAAACCATCACAAGATGACCAGGACACCATCACAACATGACCGGGACACCGTCACGTGACCCGGACACCATCAAAACATAACCGGCACACCGCCAAAATATAACCAGGACACCATCACAACAGGACCGGGACACCATCAAAACCATGACCGGGACACCGTCACAACACGACATCAAAACATGACCGGGACACCATCACAACATGACCGGGACACCATCACATGACCGGGACACCATCAAAACATGACCGGGACACCGTCACAACTTGACTGGGACACAAGGGCCTCCAGTAAGAACCATGAGTCGGCTGTACAGGAGGGAGCCAAGTTCTCTATGAGAACAAGGACCAAAACATGCTGTCACGGGAGCAGGAACGCAGCCCAGGAAAACGGGAGGCGAGAAGGAAAACTCAGGGGAAACAAACAAAAAAACAACCCTGGAGCTCTCGCCCGGCGAGCAAGGCTCATGCAAGCTGGGGCCGGGGAGGAAAAAAGAAAACAGAAGAGCAAAAACAAGGAACCTGTCAACTACAGGTGACCCTGTGCTCAAAACGGGCCGGCGCTCAGACAGGATCGAGGCAAGCGCTAGGCGTCCAATTCGGCACGCCTTCGCAACGCAGCCCGGGCCCTCCAACTGCGCACAAGCACAGAAGCCTCTTGCAGGAGCGTGCTGCCATCACTGCCAGCTGCACGGCCGATGGACTCCAAGGCCTTGGCTGCTTCAGGCGCCCAAGCGCCAGTAGTCTCGACAGCCATGGGCAAAAAGAACACCTGTTGGGCGGCGCAAGCCTCAGCAGTATCCAAATGCCTCCGCTTGTGCTCAGTGTACGCCGACGCAGCCGAAGTGATCCCCGCCGCTCCAAGGACGTCCAACCGCTGAGGCGCCGTGATGGCGAAGTCAAGGGCAGTCGGACGACCATGGAACGAAGGGAGAAACACATCAGCAGGTCGTCGGCGGGCATTGTGCACTTCATCAGGCTGCTGGGGCAGCAAGAGGCCAGGTCGTTCTTTCTCAGGGCGAAGGCAGCCCTTTTCAGCCCAGCTGTAAACCAAGTCCCGCAGGCCATTGTGGCGCAAAGCGCGCTCCCCACCAGCTGAGCACATCCCAGAGTGATGGCCATAAGTGTCGAGCACAGCATCGCATTGGGACACCAGACATCTCCACGCGCTTCAGGAACGCCAAGTCGAACTCGCAACTCAGTAGTGAAAACAAGCGGCTCCATCCGAGTCCGACCGGAGGGGACGCAAGTAAGAAAGGCCCGGGCCCCAGGAGCAGCTTCAGACTGGAGGGTGGCCTTGCCAATGGCAGAAGCAGCCGCCAGCTGGCGGGCCCAACCAGCTTCATCAACTCGACGACTCAACTCTTTCTGGGAGAGTGCAAGTGCGGCAGCAGCAGTGAGCTTCTGAGCAGGCTCAAAAGCAGAATTCAAATCCGACAAGGCGGCTGCAACATCACCCGAGTGGTCCACCCAGTAGCCAGCGTCAAGCTCTTGACATTGCAGAGAGCACCCGCCAACAGAAGCAAAGTAGGCTCCAGGAGCATGTGCGCGAGTGGAGCGAAGACCCAGGCCAGCGTGGGCAAGACCACGGGTAGCCTGCTGCCATTGGGCATGTTCAAGGTGTAGGCCAGTGAAGGAGCTGAAGCACTCTTGCACCAGCTGATCAAAGCTCTCTAAAGCAGCGACATGGCCAGCAGGAGGGCAGCAACGCATGGTATGTACCAGGCGAGCATACCCAGCGGAGGCACGCAGCAGCCGCAAGGCGACTTGAGGATCTGCCAGGCTCCCCAAAGCTTCAAGCAGCTTGCGGGCACCATCAACACGAGAGGCGGCATGAGATTGGAGGTGAGCAGGCTTTCCAATGGCAGCTCCCAAGAACTCAAAATCGTCGAGGATGCGGCTGTGACCCACAGCATTCCTCACGAGAGCTGCTGGCAGTTTGGCAATGATCGCTGGAGGGGGAGTCATGCCGACAGCAATGGCTTCACTTTTAGCCAAATTCAAGGTGAGGCCTAAGCCAATCAAAACATGATCGGGACACCATCACAACATGACAACACGACCGGGACACCATCAAAACATGCCCGGGACACCATCACAACATGACCGGGACACCATCACAACATGACCGGGACGCCTTCAAAACATGACCGGGACACCATCACAACATGACCGGGACACCATCAAAACATGACCGGGACACCATCAAAACAGGACCGGGACACCATCACAACATGACTGGGTCACAATCAAAACATGATCGGGACACCATCAAAACATGACCGGGACACCAGCATCACATGACCCGGACGCCATCAAAACATGACCGGGACACCATCCGCCCACCAGCTCTGACGGTGACCCGACGGCGCCCGTCCGCCTATTAGTTTTGCAAGACCCCATAGCATCGCTATTGGGGAATTAGCTCTTGAACAGTGTAGGCGACAAAGAGAGGAGAGAAAAGGTGAGGCCGCCTAAAAGAGGCCCTCCCGTTCTTTCCGTTTCTTTTTCCTATACCATCCCAAGCTGCCCCTGTAAACATCCCAAACAATTCTCAGTGTGCCTCATCTTCCAGCCAAAGAGCATCTTTTTCACCAACCAAAGCCCCTGCACTAATGCCGAGCTTAAACTGCTCCAATGCAGCTTTGGTTATCTCCTCAACGAGATGTGTTGGCAAATCGGTGCATTAACATATCTTCCATCAAAACGGCATCAACATGATGTAGGACGTTTTTCGGTGCTGCGTTTCATCTGGTGTCCATGTAGTTCTCTCGCCTCAGCTTTGACTTTCCCGTCACAGCGACCGTCTTGGTGTTGACTGGCTGCCGTGCAAGGAAACGGGAATATGAACAATGTAACAATGCCGCAAAGTCACAAGTTGACCCCATCTTCATGAAAACCTGATGCGATTGGAAAGAGGGTGTTGGGAAGGGACATTAGGCATGCAGGAGGCGGGGGAAAACTAAAAACACACGTTTAAATTCCGAACATGAAAGACATGCTGTTACTGACAGCTATTGGACAACCAAGCAAGTATATAATTAAGATCTGCCGCGATCTCCTTTGACAATTTTTGGATCTAGACACAGCAGGAAACATATATTTATATTGCACTGATTATACATGATCCTTGTCTTGCAATAGCAGTTGCCTAGGCAGTTTGGAGCACATCATGACCGCGTCTGTATGGCTGGCTTTGATTGTGTAATGGCCACTGCGGGTGAGTGCGAAAGTCTTTGGTCACCTTAACAAGGGCCGTCTATGGCGTGCCACACTAGTAACAAGAAGCTACTAGTAACAAAGGGCATCGCTACTAGGAGCAAGGACGCTACTAGGGGCTCCTGGCCGTACTACCAGTATATATCAGTATATAACAAGAAGCTACTACAGAGGGAACTCTGAGCTGCTCATTTTTGGCTTTGCCCTCATCCCTTGTGATGAATTATGAGTCTACTCAATGCACTAAAGTGTGCTGTTGAACTCAAAGAAAGACCATCAACAGGTGCAAGAACATAGAACAGAAGCGGGCTAACAACAGGTAGTGAATACAGTGTCCCAGGACATCATCCTAACCAACGGCGGTTTGTGCGGAAGCACAGGTAGAGGTCAAACATAACCTAATAGCAATGGCTTCCAACCTAATAGCTGGAGCATAGAGCGGAAGAGGTGAGAATAACTATGCCTTTTGGACAGCAATGATGCAATCCGCGTACCACAATATTCTGAAAGAAGACGTGAGCAAAGTTGTTCATACGGTGTCCACTGAGCAGGAATCCCAAATAGGCAAAATGATCCAACCCGCCAAACAGATACAGGAGAAACAAAACATGTGGGATGGATTCAGACTTCGGCTGCCATCCCGTGCGTGCTTATAGAGTCTTAGAGTACGTAGCGGCACCGAGAAACCGGCCCCCTCTCACACACTGCTTCTACGAAGATCAGATTGGCGATGTTTGGGTTTTAGATGTTTGTTGACGTCTAGATCGAGTGGGTTGTCGTATTCCAAAATGTTCCAAGCTCCGGGCACAAGAATGCAATGGCTTCTTCCTCTGAGCGAATCCTCACAAGTCTGTCTCGCAGCAAGGCTACAGTGAACTCGAGTGGTGAACACCCTGCCGGCAAGCTTCGCGTAGAATTGATTCTTCGGCGACCCGGACTCAACGCCATTGACTATGTGTGGTGAAGTCGGGAAGATAAACCTCAGAGTTGAACCATATTGACAAGTGGTAGGACCAGTTGAATTGCATTTGCTACTTGCAGCCGAGTATCCATATCCAATGGCCTTTCTTTTGCCCGGAGCGGATCTCGTTTAAAGCCTTCTCGTAGGACATCCTTGGGTACAATCGCGATGTGCGCAAAAACATGCTTGTACTGATGCAGAGGTCTTTGACAAACTCTGGTCCCCAGGTTTGATATGTCCCAGCCACCTTTGCTGATCTGCAAAGCGGCGAATATTGTAGGGATCATCGCTCTCCAACATCTTGCCCCGCACGCACATGCACAGCAAAAATTACATGAAATTACAGACTTAACATAAACATCAAGTTCCGCCTTGACATCTTGAATTCGCATAGTTTAATCAAGTCAACCATGTTCAGAATTGACGTTGTCATGTTTCATTTGGCAAGGGAACCAAATGCACGCTCGCCGCGGCTCTTGAGCTCAACTGGACAGCAGGAGCATGCAGGAACTCGCCTCAGTTCACCTTCTCTTTAACCGAAACACCTTGCATTTCATGATGTGTCATGCAGGCCGTCATGCAGTCTGTCATGGTCTGTCCTTGCTTGTCCCTCATTATGGCTTGCAATTTTCCTCACAGCTTCGAGCTCGGATTCCATTGATGCTCCGCGCTCTTGCAGAGCAAGTAAGCTCGAACAATCCAAGCAGCTCAGTCTAGTCCTCTGGACGCTAAGCCACCCTGTGGACCTTTGGGGGTTCATAGTAGCATGTGCTAGTCCAATAGGAACCTCAACCACTCTTGCCGTGAATGTGCCCCTGGGCTCGAGAGTCTGGTTTCAAAAGCTTTGAATACTCGCTCCTGTTGCCATTGCTCAAGGTATCAGTTTCGAGCAAGCGTTTGTTCACTGTGAACTTCTGTCATTCCATCTTGCCGAGATGACCCCATTGGGGTGCTGCGTGCGGATTTTTGATGTGGCAGTGTGGTACACATGTCCGCGATTGTGCCAAAGTTGAGTCAGCACAGCACTGGTGCAGTACCGCCGCTTTGTCTACAGTCTGCAGTTGTCCAATCCCTCGGATGTCTATCATGTCCGGGACTTGTGTCTGCTCCACAAGCTGTAGCAGCGCTGCAGCATATCACTGGGCGTGTCCAAGCTGAGTTGACCATTCAGCACACTCCCACCTCAACAAAAATAGGAGTTTTTTAGAAGGCCCATCTCTCGACAGCAAACCATAGCGAACAAATCTGAGACCGGTGCTCAGCCAAAATGGGGAGCAAAGGCCATGAGAGTCGGCCATCTCCTTGCGCTGGCAGGCGAGGAGGTCAGAAAGAACAAAGTCATAGACTCGTAGCCTACTAGTAGCTTCTTGTTACTAGTAGCGATGGCCTCCGCCTAATAGCCATGGCCTCCAACCTAGTAGCTTCTCATGCAGCACATTCGTTTGCCTATAAAGATCGATTAACCTTGAAACTTGCTCTTTGGGCAATCTTGCTTGGAAAGCACTGGTTCACAGAGCGTACCAAACTACAGCGAAGATTCCACTTTCACCAGCAAAGGGCCGTCAGCCACATTGCAAGCAGCATGCTTCCTCTGAAACAATAGCGAAAGCGTCTCGTCCTGAAAAGGCGGGACTCATAAGCTGCCAAGAGCTGGGCAAACAATGCGTTCGCGTTCTCGTCGGAGTCTTAGAGCTACAGCCTCTAAAAGTCTCAAAAGAACAGAACAACAACAAACAAACACATATAGGCTGGAGGCCATTGCTAGTAGGGTGGAGAGGCCATCGCGTTCAAAAGGTCAAGGGAGACAAACGTTCCGTTGCCCGATGGTCCTGTGGCGCAATTTGTCGTTCAGTGGCCATCGCCGCTAGGCCATGAGCACCCTCTGGGCAAATCTTAGAGTTCACCAGGTCTCTTCCTGCCATCCTGTGATACTTCTTGAGTGCTTGCAATCAAACCATAGAACAGTAAGTTCAGCCCGACTCCATCCAAAGCTCATACAATTCCTCTTCATGCCAAATCAACTAGTGATCAGTCATGCCGAACCTCTGCAGCAGCGGCAATCCAAAGTGCAAGATTTCCTTGTGCTGGCTCGCTCAAAACAATGAAGAAACAACAAAAAATGATCCTGCAAGCATCTGGACTAAACATGGATTTGCACACACACACACGAACATATATATATATAATGTCATCATTCTTCGCAAAGGAGCTCTATATTAATTGCGCGAATCTTTTGCAAACCCCATGTGTAAGTTTCGCGGAGGTTACATCCTAGAAGTCCAACGGAGGTGAACAAGTACAAAATTGGATCTATAGCGGCGATTGTTGTACCCTTCTGCGAACTCGAAAGACGCTGGACAACAACAATACAAGGCTATTGATGAACATAGTCAAAGTCCTTACATTGACCTTCTGATCAACTACTTCATGGTGTCTGCTCGTTTGTTTTTATCCTTTTACGGGGTTTAGGCCGCTAAGAGTGCTAAAACTTGAGTTGGGGCAAAGCTAGTACTGAGGAGTAGCTCACTAAGAGGACGCAGTGGAACTGGGCGATGACGTTCCCACAACTTGATTCCAATTTGAGGGAATCAAGATTTGAGGAACACAACAAGAACGTGAAAGAACAGTTGGAAAACCGGTCGCAAGGTCCAAAGACGTAAACACTTGACGATTATTATGATACTAAAAACAAATAAACATGAACAACAAGAGACAATAAATGAACAATAATTCCCTAAACAACATGCAAAGACAAAGCGTTCTGTCCGCCCGTGAGAGATGCCACTTCGCTCGCATCACCTGGATGCGTCAAATTCAGGAGTCGTGGGCTCACGTGCGAGATGAGCCCCTCAGCTCGGCTAAACATGTTGGGCCAAGGACGCTGCGAACGGAGCAAAGGGCACCGCTACTAATAACAAAGGGCATTACTACTACTAGTAGCATACTTACTACTAGTAACAAGGGCATCGCTATTAGGAGCAAAGGACGCTACTAGGGGCTCCTGGCCGTACTGCTAGTAGCATTCGTACTACTAGTGACAAGAAGCTACTAGGGCTCCTGGCCCTACTACTAGTAACTAGTAGCTTTCATACTACTAGTAACAAGGGCATCGCTACTAGGAACAAAGGACGCTACTAGGGGCTCCTGGCCGTACTACTAGTAGCATTCGTACTACTAGTAACAAGAAGCTACCAGGGGCTCCTGGCCCTAGCATTCTTACTACCAGTAACAAGGGCACCGCTACTAGGAGCAAAGGACGCTACTAGGGGCTCCTGGCCGTACTACTAGTAGCAATCTTGCCACTAGCAACAAGAAGCTACTAGGGGCTCCTGGCCGTACTACTAGTAGCATTCGCACTACTAGTAACAAAAAGCTACTAGGCGGTCCTCGCCCTACTACTAGTAACAACTACTAGCATGCTCACTACTAGTAACAAGGGCATCTCGCTACTAGGAGCAAAGGACGCTACTAGGGTCTCCTGGCCCTACTACTAGTAGCATTCTTACAAGTAGTTCCCGGGCAAGCCGGCCGCGGAAGTTTCCAAAAGAATAAACCTATAGGAAATGGGCATGTGGCAGGCTGGTTTGCCGAGCTGCGATGTTGTTTGAAAAAACAAGTTGGAACCGACCAATGGAGCGAAAGCGAAGCAACCGCCGTCAACTGTCTCTCAACCGCGCACTAAAAAAAGTCGCCAGTTCTCATCTTCCAGCTCCCCAGATACTCTGCGTACTAAAGTTGTAGTACAAAGTCGCCAGTTTTCAGCTTCCAGCTCCACAGATTGCCCCGCGTACTAAAAGTTGTACTAGAAAGTCGCCAGTTCTCATCTTCCAGCTCCCCAGA